ACAAATTCACCTTCACGGAAGGGGACATTTCTCTGAAAATACCTCCACCATTAAGTGACAGATGGCTCTGTTAAGTATATCAGCAAGGGGAGCATGTATACACAAAGGATAATTGTATCCTATTACACAGCAGCACTGAACTATGATTGTATTAAAGTTACAGTGATTGGATTCTGAGGATGGATGCTAAGTAATAAAAACAGTCATCTGTGCATGCAATTATTTACTTGCTTGCTTTCACATGCATGCCCCACCATCTCTTTGTTCTCAAAGGATTAAGGGCACTTTTTTTCAGGCTTCTTTACTGATAACTTCTGGTTAGGATCAGCCACTGGAAGACATGGGAAAAAACTACAGGGGAGAGAAGCTAGGGAATTTTTCTTGTTCTTTAGTGCCTTGGCTATCATTTCCAGTCAACTCTGGGTTTTCTCTAAGATTTCAACCCCCCAAAACAGTCCTCTGTCTGGACCACAGCCTCCTCTGGGAAGGTTCTGCCATGGTCTGGCTGCATGGTGCTGGGTAAACTCAAGCTTCTTGGATTTGATAACCCTCTCCCCAATTTCCAGTTTATTGATTTTAAAAAAATGGTAATATTGAAAGTTGGAGCATTGGCTCAGCAGTTAAGAGCACTGAGTGCTCTTCCAAGGGACCTGAGTTCAAGTCCCAGCACTCACATGGTGACTCAACTATTTTTAACTCCAGTCCTAGGGAATTTAGCACCCTCTGTGGGCACTGCACATATGTAGTGCACAGTGATACAGTCAAAACATAATATGCACATAAACATACTTAAAAGTGGTATCTTCTAAATGCTAGTTTCACTGTTTGAAATTATTGTTTCCCTTTCCTCTTTTGACTCCATGTATTATATAATCCTGACTGATAATTGCTAGCCCCTTACTGTAGATATCTGAGTGGAGAGAACACAAATCCCTATAAATTAGTTTACACTGGCCTTTCAATGAGAGCAACATATTTTTACTGACATACGAACTACATAGACATTGTAGTTGTTTCAATGAGAATGACCCCCATAGGCTCATATATTTGAATGCTTGGTCCACAGTTGGCAGAACCATTTGGGAAGGATTAGGAGGTGTGGCAATTTTCAAAAGCCTACACCATTCCTAGTTAGCTCAACCTATCTATCTCATGCCAGTGGATCAGATGCAAGCTCTCAGCTACTGCTCTAGCATTGTGCTTGCTTGCCTGCTGTCATGCTCCCAGCCATGACGGTCATGGACTCTACTCTGGAAGCAAGAGCCCCAAATTAAATTCTCTTAAAAGTTGCCTTGGTTATTATGTCTTACCACAGCATTTAACAACTAAAACAGACAGAAATTTCCTTACATGTCAAGTTTTGTTGCTGTCTACAGCAGAACATTTTATAATTCAACGACCTGGTATACGGAACCTCTTCTACCTTGCCATGGGATGGATTCTGCAGGAAACCAATTTTTGAGATGGAGACTGACATTGAGAGCTCATCTATTATAATTCTCAGGACCAAATTTGTTAAGGAAACAATACTGCCATAACAGCCTTAAATGTTTGCACAGGGAGCTTTGGGGCCTTCAAAATGCCTACACATTGATACACTTGAGTTAAGCCTTAATTCCATGTTTTGTCAGGCACTGGTTATAAGTAATCACTCTACAGTAGGTCATGATCTTGAGCAAGGCAGCTCTCCCTCCTCAGGGGAGAAACAAACAGTCATCAGCTTCCTACATCCCTTGAGAAAAATTGAGTCTTGAAAAGAATCAAGACTACAGCACTGCCTTAGTCACTTGATATATTGGGTATCAAATATATTACAACAGCCTCTATTATATTAAAGAACTGGGCCACTACAGCCAAACCATAAATGCCAAGAGCTCTGCAGAGCCCATGCCCCAATAAGGCCTTTTGGCTATATAGTCTTTATGTGCTTCACAGGCCTTTCCTTCATTCACCTATTTAAGATTTATTTAATGTATAGTGTCTGCCTGCAGGCCAGAAGAGGGCACCAGATCTAACTAACAGATGGTTGTGAGTCACCATGTGGTAGCTCGTAATTGATCTCAGGACCTTTGGAAGAGCAGCCAGTGATCTTAACCTCTGAACCATTTCTCCAGCTCTTATTCACCTATGTTTAAGATCAAAACTCAGTTCATCTGGAAGATCACCTGGGTTATTGTGAGAACCAAATAAGCTAACATATGTTAAGCATATTGTATATAGCACACTGTAAGTTAACAGTAAACTGTATATTTACCACAATTACAAATAGGAGACAACAGTATATGATATAATGCTTTAAAATGTGAGACTGTGCTTGATTTTATTAAGAACCTTATCATTTGCTGAAAGAATTGAGTGTATTCCCTTAATCTGCTTCAACAGAAAATTTAAATCTCTATTCAATCAAAATTATAAAAGTTAAACTTTCATCTGTGAAGAAGTTAACCTCTTTAAAAAAAAAAAAAAAAAATGTAGTGCAGAAGCCATTGGCTACCTTCCACATAGCTCTTCAGAAGGTTCCAGGTAGGTTCAAACCTCAGTTGTACATAGGTGATTCGCTCAATAATTCATCTGTGACTTTTTTCCTTTCTTTGCTATGTGGTACTTCCCAGTATCCACTCTGGTTTATGACAAGCCAAAATATACTATCCGAAAAGATGATCCCTCAGGTTCTGGTATTAGTGGAAAACTAAGCTAATATACTACCAAAAATAGCAAACAAACAAACAACAAAAACAAAGCCCAATCCAACCCAAAATAATTTGTAAACAAAACAAAAAACCCAAAACAACAAAAACAAAAGGCTCTCACCAGTGATGGGTCTGAAATGTAGTGGAAAGCACTGGTTTATTTGGGAAGCAGTAGCATTTAAACAGCACAGGGATGAGAAGAAGAAAGGAGGAGGGGGAAGGTGGTTATGGGGCTGTGCAGTTTTCAAATTTCAGAAAACTTGGACAATAAAATCTTAAAAGGCTCAGAGCAGCCAGCTGTTAAGTCAAGGCATATTGTTAAAGAATGCATACAGAGACAGTGTAAAAGATCATTATCCCAGCAGTTTATTTCAGGACAAACATTACAGGCTCAGAAATTATATATTAGGAACACACACAACAAATCCTGCTTTCCATTTCAAGGTGCTGCAGAGTAACTTAAAGCCTAGGATGGGAACAACTGGTTTTGACAGGCAGAGAAACCTGAATCTCCTAACTATCCCTAACCCTCAAAACATCCTTTCTAGAGGAAAAGAAATCTAACCTACAGTTCTCACTGGTAGCAGATGACTCATTTATGCTTGTCTCCCTTTATCTCTTCTCACTGAAGACCCACAACTATGGTAACATCACCATACAGTCTGAACAAAGGAATGTATTAGTAGTATCTACTTCCAAAGAAAACAGTTGATGCAGGCAGCAAATTTTAAGAGCCAGGCTAACATTTTAGGAACTAAAGAAATGTGCAAACTAGAGGGCCCAAGAACTGTGCCTTAACTGATGTGGTGGTCCTCTGTGAATCAAGGCAAATATGTTTTAACAGAGTACTAGAGGTAGTACTAACACATCTTCTGAGATGAACCAAGACTGGACAATGGGTCAAACTTCCCACAGGTAGAATCATTCCTGTTGTGCTTAGCCTCACACCATTAACAATATTTATTGCCTTGGTCACACTTTCATTTTCAGCACCCCAACTCTCTGTCATCACGGAGGCAAGTAATGTAATGCATACACAAACATGGATAGAGCAGTTGACACCCTGAGTAATCTTTATGTACCATGAATATGGAGTCCACAAGTTAATTCTTTCCCATTCCTCTCAAAACCAATGTTAAGAAGCATTTTATCCAGTTCCTCAGAGTTCAGGTGCTTGAATGGCTCAGTTATAAAACTGCTTGCTATACAATAACAATGACCTGGGTTTGGATCCCCAGCAAACTGAATTAATTCATGAAGACTTAAGATTACTGCCTTGACTTTACCAATAAGACTGTTTAGCCCAGGGCAATAAAGTACACAACTACACAGTGAATGATTCTAATGTTCTATCTTAAGAGCATATTAAGGCAGTCACTTTGAAACATGGACTTAAGATCCATTTCATAAAGGACTTCTTAGAGGCTGTCCAACATAATGGCTTTTGGGAAGAGCCTCAGGGTCAATCACAGACTTGTAGCAAATCTTCAAATGCCAGCAATCTGTTCCAAAATAAAATCTAAAGTGTCCTTTCAAGTAAGTACTAAGCAGATTACTTCCATTACCTCTTTGAATCTGACTCATACCTGAAAATCAGTTTTCAGTTGAATATATCCAGAGTCATTTGAATTTCTAACTATTTTACAGTATGACCTCTCCTTGTTTTCTTTCCCGGACACTAAGATATAAAATTATTTTTATATTAAAACATTTGGCTATCTTCTTGTGTCATAAGCAGAATATTTGGGAAACTATTTCTTGGAGGATAAGGAGCCTACCATCTCCAGGAGCAGCTTGATCATCAAAGATATATGTGAATTTACTTTGCGCCTTGGTAGATCTAACCTATCAAGCTTGTTTAGTTCTATTTAACTCAGCTTATTTGTCTGATGTTTGTCACTAAAATCTAGCAGTTGCTTCATATCCATAGTGCACTCCTAAAGTTCAGCAGACCTCTGTTCACTAAGCACCTCAAGGACATATGATGAGAAGTTTCATCTCAGCATAAACTCCCATGATCACCAAAGTAACAAACTGCATAGTACATGCCATTTCATACACACTCAAGAGTAAAACAAGTCCCTTTTGATTTCTTCTGGCAAAGTACACCACATAACTTCAAAATCTATTCTATTTAAAATCCCTAAGAAACTTCCAACAAATAGCAAAAGAGCAAAGCAAAAGAACACTCAAGTATGAATTTATAATTGTTTTATCTCAATTATCTTGGTTTCCTAGTTTGCTCTACAAAAGAACCCACCCCAAAGAAACTTAGCATTTCACAAATAATCAAAAACCAAGACAAAAGTATGCAGTTGCAAAATGGCCATTTATTGCCTACAGGGAAAGGGGAAGTGGGAGAGAAGGGGAGAGTACACAGGTGCAAGGAGACAAGCATATATTTAGCCCTATACATCATGTGTGAGCAGTACCCAATCTCCAAAACGGAAAAAAATATTTTGTCATCTGACATAATAGTTAAGGTTCTTAAGCACCTCCCTTCTGAGCTGCCATAAGATTTAAAAGGCAGGACTGCTTTGTTTAGTCAATGTTCACATTAATGAAAAAGAATACCACCACCCGTGTCCTTTTTCACATACATCTTCTATAGTGTCTAGTATGAAAAACATCTCAGCTGAGCAATTCAGTCAAGATCCAGACCTTATCAACTGTTTTAATAAATAGAAAAATAAAGCAGCTGGTGATATTATCAGAGAATGAGAGTAGAACCATCTTCTCCAGCGATGACAAGAGTTAAATGTCTAGAATATCACAGAAACAGTCTATCAAACATTAATTATTAGTAAGCTACAATTACATGGCACTTCATTAAATTCTCTAATAAAGAAAAAAATAAAGAGAAAAGCTTAGATTGTAAATGGTTACCAGGATACACTGATTTAGTGCTTGGCTTTTTCTTAGGATAAAAATAAAAAATATACAACCTAAAACAGTAGAATTTGCTTAAAATAATAGAAATTACCGCGTATTCATGGGGAAATTATCAAAACATCTTGCTTAGTTTTATGATCATGTGCTTTGCTTTTAGACCATTTAAGAGTTACACAAACACTATATAGGCCACAGATTAACTCAACTGTAAGCAAAATAATAAATTAGTCAACTTAATGCCAGGAAATAAAAATAAATAATCCCTTCCCTACTCAAATGGTAAACTGAGTGTAAAGGTATAAAGTCCATGGACAATTACTTGGCACTTAGACAGTTGAAAATAAGATACAATTTAATCTCTAGTGAATATAATCAAATATCCTGGCCTTTTCAAAGAGAAAAAAAGTATACATTTTTTTTCTTTTTAAAAATAAAAAACAAAAGTGCTACCTCACTTCAGAAACAACATAGTTAATTAAGCATTTGCTGTCCTTGAAATACTCCAAGTATTCCTATTTAACCCGACACCTCAGCTTCTTCTGGATGAAAGAACAGTTTGCATTTGGACAACTGTAAGAATGCCCATAGTGCACCTGTCAGTGCTGCTGGTGTTTAATAAATCTGCCACTCAACACTGAACAATTCCTGATCCAGTGTGCAGTAACAGCCAACCAAACTCTTGCTTTCAAACATCGGCAGAGCACCGCTCAGAAATTTCACAGGTAAGGGAATATACTTTTAGTAAATTAAGCACAGAATAATGACAGTAGTTTCTGAATAAAGAGCAACCCACACACTGCATCACTTACCGCATATTAAGGTTGAAACAGTAGCAGGATACTAAGTCTGTCTGGTAAGAAGCAAAGCCATTGTTTGGCACACCAATGCTGAGCCAATATTCTGAGTTCAAGTAACTACACACAAACAAATGTGTTACACTAAATAACTGATAGCTAAGAAAATATGTCAGTGCTCTGAAATAACGAGCAAGAAATTATCTTTTTTTTTTTTTCTTTTTCTTTAAAGAGGGCTACCATGACTCCTTTGCTTTTAGAATCGACAGATAGATTACAGGAAAATTAAACTCAGGGAACTTGCCAATGAAAATAACCAGTAAGAGGTGCCAAATGATGCCTTTTGAAATATTCTGAAAGGTGAATACACCATGCTACCAGGCCAAGAGGTATATGATTTCTGATGGCATACTTCTAATTTTAGTTCAGTGCTATTAATTTTATAGGCTGTGCCATAAAAGAAAAAAAAAAAAACCAACAACATTTAATAGGCACGCCCTTATTTCATATCCTTTAAAAGTTATCTTACTAAGAGTACTTCAGTTTCTCCTTTGGATCCAAGAATAAATCAAGTCTAGCATAAACCAAACTTAAATAATTATACTAATAAAACTTTTCAGGAAGCAGTTTCTTTCTACAGGCCTTTTTCCTATCATCGTGCTGAACAGGTTCCCATCTTTCTTCTGCTTCCCTTCCCATTCTCCTCTTTCTGCAGCTCTTGCTCAGAATACCCAAGGATTTCTTTTACTGTTTAAGCATGTAAGTGACAAGTACGAAAGATGCTCTTGGCATCCTGTTCTTAAACAGGCTATAGCTTTGGTAAATGAGCAGGTTAAAGATGCAGTAGCATTTACTTGTGTTTGAATTTCAATTGGGGAATTGCAGTGCAATTGTGGAATTAAAATCATCCAGGGCAATCATAAACATAAATGTTCTCTTCTGTCTACAAACTCAAAACTTCAGTTGAAGTTCCTGATTTAGAAAAATAAGTTTAACTTCTCTACTTATTTTATCTAGTTCTAATAGACAAAAAGTCATAAAAATATGATACAAACCAAACGGAAATCTTTTAACACATTATAAAGGTGTTACTTTGGGTTTTATGGTGATAAACAGGGAAAAAACAAAACCAACCTTACAAACATGACAGCTCACATTTTAGTCAAAATGTTGGTTACTCTGAACATGTGACAAAGATTTTGCTTGCTATAGGACCAATACTGTAAAACAATTCATGTTTTTTTGTGACTGACACTACCAACCAGTTAGTATACTTTGCAAAACTATTAATAATATGTCAGAAACTAAGACTATAAATGATTGAAATTTAAATTAGTACTAGAATGAAGTCAATTTCTATCAGTAGGAAATGTACGTTTTGTGTCAGAAATTAAGCTCTGTGCTCCTGGCTCCTTCAATGCACACACTCTACCTACTTCTCCTTGTGCTTTCCCTTCTCTTTCCTATCTGCTACTGAGTGTACAGGTCGGAGCTGTGATTTTTTTTTTTTTAATGAATTCTCAAAAATACAATATAAACTGAAAATTTCACCTACTGACAAGACATACTCAGGAGACAAAATCTTTGAACAGAGCACAATTTTGTCCATGTTCTAGGTTTAATGTGCCACACCCTCAATTTTAACATAATCTGCCACAGATTCAAGTGATATTAGTCTTAGTTTTCAACTTTCTCCCTTCTCAGTGATATATGACTTTAAGATGACCCCCCCCAAAGAGATAAGTAAATTTCATATTTCTACAAACATAACACTAAAACATAGTGGTTTTAAAAATACATTCACACAAGATGCTTATTAGTAAAATTAAATATCTGCCTATGAATATCAGAAATGTAATTTGAAAAAAAAAGAGATTCGAACAAGGCAAATGGGGAGGGTGGGGTAAGCTGGTCTCAGAACCCATTGTGCCATTACCTGACTCTAACATGTGATATTCAAATGAATGTTCACACGCCTTACATCAAATAAATCAAACAAAAATATTCAGCTATGTTGTACAAAATTTTTTTTTTACATAAAACATCATAAATCTTGAACAGATCTACTATATCTGAATTCTAAAAAGTTGCCTACAGAATGGTGCTGGGATTCTGTTCTCTGCTTGCTTTTAGGCAGTGCTGTTGCTTAAGAGTTGACACCAGGCACAATATTGTAAAACAAAGTCAACAAGCAAGGAGCAGTAAGTGGATTTGAGCCTTTTCCAGATGTCAGTCCTGAGGATGCTGCAATATTCCCCATCAAAGTATGTAAAGCTATGAGGAGGATACTGATGCTTGACAGTGGGGTGACTTGACATGCACTTATATGACTGTTATAATGGCAAACAGTGCAGTTTCCCCTGCCTCAAACAACACCGTTTTAATAAACTTAACACTCCAGTTCTTAAGAAAATTACTAGAAATCATATATAACAGTTAAAAAAATAAAATGCCCAAATTTTCTTTTATCATCAGATAAAATATGCAGCAGCCCAACGGCATAAAGCTTATTAACTTATTCTGAGAACTAGAAAGTATATGAGCATATATGATTCACTTGAATATATACCATGTCATTCACCTTGTCCTTTGGGCTTCTCACTGCCAAAGTTCCAAATGGCATGCATTTGACAAGACAATGCTGAGGACAGCAGCATTTCTGATCATCTGAACTGGCAGCTCAAAACAAGATACCACTCCTTTTACAAAGGGAACAAAGGGGAAACAGTGTGTGAAATTTGGGCAAGAGGCTAAAGGGAAACCGTGCACATGAAAATTGGGTTACCATGCCCTAGGTGTGTGCCACCCAAAACAAAACACAATCACCTACGTCAACAGAGCTACTACCAACATTTACGAAAACACATCAAAATACATAGGATAATGAATGGTTTGAAAGAGTGCATTTGGAAGCAGAGAGACCCAATTACACACCTTCTTGCAACAGAGTGCCTCAATCATACACAAAATAAACTTAAGCTGTTTACAATGTTTCCCAATTTTTTTTATTTTCCCCTCTACATTTAACTATTAAAAAAGATTTTTATTAATAAATGGGCTCCTCTGTGGTTCATATACAATCATAAGTGAACTTTAAATTTCATTTTATACAAACATCTCAAAAAATATCGGGAGTGAAGTATGGTAGGAAATATTGCTCACATTGCTAATTAACATGCATCTATGAAAGAAGAAGAATGTTCTGTTAGTGCATATACCTCCAGAGCAGAAAACCCACCCAAAACAAAAGATCTAAAATTAAACATACAGTAGCTGATTATAAAAAAAGGTAATGTCCACAAAATTAAGTTTTTCATGCTATTCTACTTTCCAGTACTATGCTTCAGATAATCAATTTGCATGGCTAGATGTTGGATGCTTGAGGTATATAAGAAGGGATACCTGAACACTGAGGAAAATCTGTCATCAGGGTTTCTTCTGCTTGTTTATTCAGGTACTTTAACATTTTTAAGAGACTATTTTATTTACATCAAACTTTGCTGAACTACAATGACATTCCAATTACAATAGATGACAACGCCTCTGTCACTAGGCACTTTTAAAAGGGAGTTAGGCTTTACAGAGCTCTTCTGGATGCAATCCTGTGTGATATTACATCATCCCACCACCCTCATCCCACTAAAATTACCCTTTGGGAAAATATTATTTTATGCAGCCTGATCGGTAAACTATGGAAGAAATTAGTATAAAATAACCACAGGAAATGTATCATTTAAGACTAATAAAACAGCCTAAGATGTCAGGTTTGAAAGAAGAGACAATTTGTATATATTTAAAACTAATTAAATAATTTAAATTTGACTTGTACTTTATATATTAGTGAGACACAAATATAGGCTATTTTCTTTTAAAATTTCATTCACATAATGGAAAATTTCTTGTTTATTAAAAATATCACATTTTGATACTAGAAACAGTAAAGTGCATGAAAAGTTTAAAATATAAATTTCAGAAAACTCTTATAGCAGCAAAAAAGCAGAATAAAGAAAAACTTAAAAACACAGACACAACCTTTTCCAATGTTACTGTGCCATAATTAACATCAAGCAGCCAACTAATTTTCTCCCCACAAGATGGTATTTATGCTCTCTGCCTCTCTAGTGAGATTTTCAAGTGGGCCCTCCAGGCCAACAACAACAAAGGGGGGTTTGGTTTCCAATACATCTAGAGGCATCAAACTATGGGAATAAACCAGTAGCTTAATTCAAATCTAGACAGATATGGCAACAAAGATTAAAAGCATATGATGGCCATTTGGCAGCTAGAGTCAGAAAAAAATAATTCAAAGTTTTCAACTATTTCCCCAAATCTGTCCTCTCCTCAAAATCCTCTTTAATGTTACCTCAAAACAAAAACAAAAAACAAAAACAAACAAAACAGCCACTTAACTTATTTTGGAAAACATGTGTAATATTATATGGCTTTCCCTTTTTGAAACTTTGACCCGGGGCTTTTCATTCAGCAATCTTCTTTAAACATTAAACTGTAGTGGTAAAGATGATATGGATCATATCTTTTTCCATTACAACCAGACATCAAAGAAGAGTGGACATGAAAAATACCAGACACTAATTTTGTGGGCATCCTAAAAATACCAAATCCTACTTTCAAGATATATGGCAGTATATATCTGCTATTTTCTTATAAAATGAACTGGAGAGACGGGCTTAGAGTTAGTATTTCTATAAAGATTACAACTAATAGGCAGACCAAGAAAGGGGGGGGGGAGATCCCTCAAACAAAACAACCAGCATTCGGCCAACAAACTGTCACATACTATGCTTGATTTTGAAAGCATGTTGTGCAATTATTTTCATTTCTCAAACTGTCTTGTTATGGCTAATGACTATATCACATTTAATGTACAAATCAAGAAAATTTAAGTGCTTTGTTAATGTGCAAACAACTTGGGAGCCAAAAATCAGCTTGTTATAAAGGAAAACAGAAACTCAAAAAAGTTTTTCCTATAAGGCATGCCATCATTCTATTGAAAATCTTGTATTTGGAGTTTGTAAAAATCACTTTTTACAAAAATGATTGGCTTATTTGAAATAATCCAAAGAATGTATTTGATTTTAGAGAACAACACTGGTGTTGGACCTCAAATTAGTGACTTACCAATTGTGAATGCTATTTTCTAATATAATAGGAAGAGAAGAAACCCAATTTTAAAGTATATTAAACTTTTGGATAGAGACAGACGGTAATACTTTGGTTCCAGCCCTAGTGCCAAATGATATCAATATGCACAAAAACATACAAAGTCTTATAGCAAACACATAATGAAAGGAACCTGAAGCAGCAGCTTAAGGACGGCCATACTTCACTCCTACATACTTTGATTTACAACTGTACAGGTCCATAGCAACAGATCCCCGTCTTGGCGGGGCTGTACTCCACTACCTCCGGTTAGGTAAGTGAACACCATTGACAAGAGGCAGGAGTGGGGGGTGGAGTTCAAGTTGTGTTAACAGTGAGAAGTGGTCTGAAGGGATGTGAGGATGTGGACACCCAGTGATGTTGTTCTCAACCAGCCATTGAGGATCTAAAGGCCCCAGGACACCAAGCACGTTCATATGAGTCTTGGAATAGAAAATGTAGTCAATCACTCCCTGGAAAGAGATTAGGGATAATGGGGGAGGGGAAAGAAAAATATGTTTAGAAAAAAGAGAAAACCTTCTGTAAAAAGAACAAGCCTTAATTTGGAAAAGCTAAATAACTAAGTAACCTGTATTCCTGGTACCTGCTATCCTGACTATAGATCAAACAAGGCTCTAATATTTACTGGATTATTACATAAAGGCAGCTCAATAGAGAAACACAGCATACTAAATCATAAAGTTTTATACATTTATACATAAATGATAACACTAAAAAGCTCAACAGATTTTCTTGGGTTTAAGTAAAATCTAACATACACTCAAGCTACTTTACAGTTAAACTGTCCTAATTTGCTTAGTTAAAAAATACTAATTTCTCCAAATCCTGGCATTGGAGCAATGTATCAGCATGAACAGACACACACCTTTATATATGACACCTGTTCCATATGATTTGATTCATTTTATTAGCAGATAGCAAAACTAATGTGCCTTCACTGTTCCAGGCTGTTCATAGATTTTCTACATGTGAAATTCAGTCATCCATTCATTTAATGTAACAGCGACTTGCTATGTAACCCATCTAGGCTTCAATTCAAGATCCTACTTCCTCACCTTATCAAGTGTTGGAATTACAGGTATGTGCCACAATAGCTGATGCATGAAAGACATATTCAACAAGCATTTTAAAGTGATTTTTAGATCAATTCAGAAGATCAAGGCAGATAGTTTAAGCTAATATGCCAAATTAAAAAAAATTGTAGTATATGGGCAAGTAAAAAGTAATCTTTCAAAAAGTAATGAAGAAATAAACTTTTCTTTTAACCTACTTACAGATCAAGAGAACATTAACAGGTATCTACTGAACACTTAGTTTTGGGAACTTTTATTTTTTCAGGGTACGCTGGCAAATGCTTTATAGGTCATTATAATGGTATTATTTCAATTATAGTATACTATATACCAATAAGTATATGTTTATTTTTCAGCTGCAAAAACAGTACTATACTAATACTGGAGATTGCCAACTTTAATAGTACCATTCTCAACAATGTGAATAAAGTTAAATTAGAGAAGTACATAACCCACTACAAAAATCAATGCTTATTTCCCCCAGAAAGTTAGTTCTTAAATATTTTACTGCCCATCACCATGCATGACTGATTAAAACAATACAAGTTATCAATGGATAGTTAGCTAACAGCAAAACTATATTAACTCCCAAGAAGTTTTACTTCTCATTTCATAACTATGGAAGCTTGACTAGTTACCAACACAGATCTTTCCTCTTACTTTTGTTTCAAAAGGAGTAAACAAATATCAAAAATTGAAAAAAAAGAGGCTGGGCACAGTGGTGCCCGCCTTTCAGCTTTCATTCCAGCACATAGGAGGCAAAGGCAGGCATATCTTTATGAGTTCAAAGCCAGGCTGGTCTACATAGTGAGTTACAGGTCATCCGGGGCTACAAAGAGAGACCTGTCTCAAAACACTAAACAAACAGAAAAAAAACAGAAAAAAAAAAAAAAAAAAGTAAAAGGGTTATTGAAAATGTGAATAAGCATATTTAGTAATTTTCCTTTTGTATTATAACTTCTCTAGGCTTTTTATACTAAACAACTTTCTACATCCATACATTTAGGATAAAACAGGCAGACATACAATTCATTCTGGAAATGGCAGAATGTCAAACAGAGGTAAAGAGAAGCACAACAAGTAGATGAAATGATCAGAAAATGAGCAAAAGGAAAGTAAGCACAGAGAGCCACTGCCATCCATCTTTCAAGGGGTATCTTGTCCTGAACATCAACAGGCTCCCTTATTTTTAAGAGTTCCTTTTCCTTTTAAAACCTTGTTCCAGGGATACCCTGGGAATATACTAATACAATTTCATGGATAAGATCATCATTAAGCATGACCTATAACTCAACCCCTACGAGAAACTTGGAAAATTATTAAAAATTTGACAGAATATTATATAAATTTATTCCAGGGGAGTTTAGCTATATTAGGAGCTTAGATTCTTGCTAAGCACAGGTGGTGGAAAACAGGTGAAGGTTAGATTAACTGTATCAATATACCCAAGTGACTGACACACAGCAAAACATTTTAGAAATATTGGCTATTATCATTAATATGTGAAATGTAAACAAATCAAAGTTTGTAAAGAATTCAAATGACATCAGTATTAACCACAAAACCTAATAAAATTCTCTTTTTAGTTCTATTTTTAAACCAGATATTTGAGACTCTGTGTGTGTGTGTGTGTGTGTGTGTGTGTTTGAATCAGTGATGGTTTTCTTTTATTTCATGTGTACAGATATTTTGCATGCATGTATGTCTGTGGAACATCTGGGTGTCTGGTGCTGACAGAGGTCAGAAGACGGCATCAGATCCCCTAAAAGCCACCAATACGATCTCTCCAGCTCGGCAAACTCTTAATCATAAGAGTTTATATTCTTCCTTTTTACATGCTTTTATCTGAAATAGTTCATATGCCAGCCCAGAGACTGCTACTTACTTTGAAATCAAAGGTGTAATTGGTATAAGGCATCAAGTTATTTTCATAGGCGCTCTTAAGTTGGAAGCCATGTGTGATTCTCCCTTGTGAGCTTCCATTCTTTCCACCACAGCTGAAGTTCATAAGACACTCATTGTACCTTAGTTCCTTGAAGTCTTTATGGTTGTCAGCTACTCCTCCATTGCTTAAATATTCCACAACACCTAGTAAAATAAAAAAAAAAAAAGGAACACTACCTTTTAATATTTAGTACAAAGCTGTATTACTAAATCTCACTCTATAGGCACACCAGGTTTAGAGAGGTTTGGTTAAATACTAGCAGGATTTGGTGATACTAAGTCCTAGTACCTAAGAAGCGGAAAGGCAGGCTGATTTCTCTGAGTTGCAGGACAGTTTGGAATACACAGGAAGCTCCAGGCAAGACAGAGCTGCATAATGACATCCTATATCAGAAACAAACAAATAAACAAACCAAAAAGTGTTCTTGTGTCTGAATTTTTTAAAAAAAAATTGAACACCAGTAATTTCATACCACACTGAAAAGTATTTGCCTATTTTAAAACAAAGTTTCAGGACCATCCAGAAATATAGTTGATCTTAGTGGTTCTTTGGGTTCACATGACTTCTAGAACTAAACAGCATTCACCAGAAAAGTCTTAACTTTGTTTTTGTAATATTGCTCTAGATCAGTATCTTCTAGCCCCCATAATCTCACAAGCAGTGGCACTATTAGGAGGTGTGGCTTTGCTGGAGGGGATATGGCCCTGTTGGAGGGAGCATGTCATTGTGGGGGTAGACTTTGAGGTTTCCTATGCTCAGGACACTGCCCAGTATCTTAGTCAATTTCCTGTGGCCTGCATATCAAGATGAAGTCAGTACCATATCTGCCTGCATGCGGCCAACCACCCCAACCATGATGATAATGGACTGAAACTCTGAAACTGTAAGAAAGCCACTCCAATTAAAATGTTTTACTTTATAAGAGCTGCCATAGTCATGGTGTCTCCTCCCAGCAATAAAAACCCCTAAGTAAAACAAATCTCCTTAGCAATAGTCATGGCAATCAATCAACAACATCAGGGATATATAAAAAGAATACTTAGAATAATAAAAACAAAAATATTTGCAACCAGATTTTTCATCCTCATTTATTTATCTTTATTTATTATATTCTGTATATGGAAGTCTGTATACCATACACATTCCTGGGTGCCCCCCACAAGCCAGAAAAGTTCTGTCAAGTTTCCTGAAATTAAGGTTAGTGATAGTTTTAAGTCATCATGTGGGTGCTAGAAATCAAACCACAGTCCTCTGGGAGAACAGTTAATGCTCTTAACCATTGAGCCATCTCTCCAGTCCTCTCTCCCCATTACACATTTTTAGCTAGTGCCAAGTCTCAGTCTGAAACCTATGAAGAATATTTTATGTCTAAGTAACATTATACACCAGAGATCAAGAATATTAATGTGACTAAAAAGTTGAAAAGAGTAGAAGTTCTTCAAAAAGTGTCTACCAAATTAGCAAACATGAAAAAGTCTTACTTTTTAATTATTAGTTAGCATTAATATTACATTCATCTATTAGTGAATAAAAATGATTAACAAAACATGAAGAAATAAGTATCAGTGTTGTGAATCACTCAAAAGGAAATGTAACTTATCTAGCATTTACAATATGTTAGAATTTAATGAAAGTCAATAAAATGCTATCCCCAGATTGAATAACATGTATAGCATATCTAAGAAACAGAACCAGGATCCAACCTTGACAGTCTGATTTGAGCCAGTGAACTATGCTATGTTAACAATAATACTAAAAGCTATTATAAGTAGTTTCAAGAAATCATACAAAATACAAGAAAAACTTGCACTTATAGAGAATTTACAGAATTATTTTTGTAAAAGACTTAAGAAAGGGGGATGTGGGCTGGGGAGACAGGTCAGTAAAGTGATTGCCATACAGGGATTAGAGCCTGAGTCCAAACTTTGTAACCCATGAAAACGTAACTGAGTACTGTAGAGAGCTTGTAATACCAATGCTGGCGATATACAGGCAGACAGATCCCTGGGGCTGTTTGGCCAGCCAGTATAGCCTACTTGGTGATCCCTAGGTTGGTAGGGACCTCATGTGACAGACAAGGTGGATGGCACCCAAGGTTCTAGTGAGCATGTGAGCTCACATGCACACACATACCACCATGTATACATGCATAATCACATGGGAGGATGGGACGGGAGAGACAAGAAGGAAAGAAGATGCCAGTTGGCATAAGGGTCAAAAACAAGATTTTAGCATTTAGTTACTATGAACAAAATTATTTTAAGGTTGGTGACTATTTACAAATTCCAAGTATAGGCACTAAAGTTATTTTGTATTTGCTATCGAGGGACTATCTTTCACTAGCCTAATAATATCTGGAGATATATTTCAGTGGTATGCTTGCCTAACATGCAACCACCCTGGGCTTGATCCCTACTAGGGGTGTAGATTAAATAATAATGATAATAATAACAACAACAACAATGATGATTATCGCATCATCATCATATCTAATAGATCACAGGAAACTTGCCAAGACTATTAAGTGAGACAGCTATCTGTAATGAATGTTCTCTAAAGAGTGCCCTTCTCTAATGAACTCTGTGCCTCAAGAGGTTGATCTTGTATGGATGCAAACCCTAACCCTACCCCATAGCTTTTAGTTGGACATGGTTAATGGGCAGCCCTGGTAGATCAGAGCAAAGTAAGAGAGAGGCCTATCTTCCCACAACTCCCTTCTTATTATAATCTGGAATCATTAATTTATAAGCCATCACTCCAATTATTGGCCCACTTGTATACTTCCAATATCTGATGACAGCTCCCATCATTTTCCCAGTTAAGCGTAGGAGTACGAGTGGTAGAGCACAAAAGCAATCATTGTTTTGTTTTACTCAAGACTGAACACTTCTTTGGAATCAGTTTCCTTATTAAACTTTTTTCTATTAGTCACTATGTTAGTCCTCAAATTCCAACTGATATGTTCCTTGATTTAGAAGAGAAAGCCCTGTTAGGAGATAAGTGGCCTTTCAACCTTGAAGGACTAAAAGCAAAACTGAAAGCATGGAAAGAATGCTGTTGTAAATACCTGAATCTGGCAATGAGTTAAGATCTGCACATAGCACCAGCGGGATGGAGTTAGGGTCTGCGGTTGGGCTGCCAGGCCTACTCGAGGCTTTCTCCAGAATGTTTTTAACCTCTGAGACAAACATCATGGTCTGAATAAGTTTCACATCAGAATACTCTGGGTCCCAATGCATGTGGGCATTTGCCACTATAAGCAGCTGTTTGTCTGCAGCATGAATAGGCTTCATACCTATATTTAAACATCATAAAAAAGAAAACGTAGAAAGTTATGTTTCTTAAAGAGTTGTTTAAAAGTTCTCTGAAAAAGATCCATAACTAGTCCTTTATTTTTTTCTATAAATTTATATTGATTTTTGTCCTGAACTTATCTGAAAAACTAAATAATAATTTTGTAAATCGCAATATATTAGTTATAAATCACAGGCATGTTAACAAATGGTAACCTACAGAATAATCCTGGTCTACTATATATTTCTATTACAGCTTTTGTGAGCTAAAGGTAGTTTTACACTTTTCAAATAGACTCTATGTGGCCCACAGAACCTAAAGTAGTATCAACCTAAAATAGTACATGTTTATACTAGAAATTATTTCATAATATAATATTTGGATTATCGTATGTTTCATCTGCTGAGTTCTTAGCTTAAAACAAGCAAGTTATTTATTTTAATTTTAAATGATGTGTGTATGTGTATTAGAGTATGGGGTTAGTAAATGAATACAGTACCTGCAGAGACCAGGATGAGGGCATCTGATCTCTTGTAAGCTGAAATTAAAGGTGGTTGTGAGCCACCCAATGTAGGTGTTGGGAAACCAAATACCAGGCCTCTGGAAAAATAATGCATGCTCTAACTGCTAAGTCACCTGTCCAGTACCAAGCAAGCACTTTTAAGTGCCTCTTATTTAATTAGATTAGAAACATCTAGTGAAAGATGTTTCCAGTTAAATTAACCAATACTTAATTTCTTGCTACTGCACAATATGTTATCTGTGTTGCATTTCACCAGTTTAATAGTGAAAGGTCAGTAGGAAAAATCAGTAACATTACATGAACCTACAGAAAATAAAATAAGGGAGTGAATTTGCTACCCAACTAAATCCTCAAGTTTGTTTACTTACTATTTTTAGTTTTTCAAGTCAGGGTTCCTCTGTGTAGCCCTGGCTATCCTGCAACTATGTAGACCAGGCTGTCCTCAAACTCACAGAGATTGAGCTACCTCTGCCTCCTGAGGGCTGGGATTAATTAAAGGCATGCACCACCTCAGCTGATCCCAAAGAGTAAATTGGAAACTGTGGGACTGGAAAGACAGCTCAGAGGTTAAGAGTACTTGCTACTCTTGAAGAGGACCAGAATTTGGTTTCTATCACTGACATCAGACTGCTCACAACTGCTTGCAACTCCACTGCCAGTAGGTTCAACACCCCTTCTGACCCCCATGTGTACCAGGCATGTATGCTGTGCATACATGCAGCCATGACGACCCTCAAAACAAAACAAAAATCAAGAGAATTATATGCTCTCAAAAAGTCTGTATACTTTCATCTTTGACCTGGTTCTACTACTAATTACTTGGTGTGAACTCAGGTTAGTCAGCCACTTAATGATTTTGGTACTCAAGTAATTTGGAAAAAGATATTCAGCTATATATATTCTTTTTTTTTCCCCTAAAATTCTGTTAAACATTAAGACAGTACTTTTCAAAAGGTAGACATAGCAATTAATAATATTAAAAGCAATTTGTGAAAAGAAAACATAATAGATGCTACCAGAAAGATGACCCTAAAACAGTCAAGGCACAAAACTCAATATTAATGGTATAATGTCACTTAACATAAACATATATACACATATTCTAGATGTTTAAATTCATAAAAAGAAGTAGGAGCTATTTCTAGAGTGTGATTGACACAGGAACTTCTTGCTTTTTAAGGTTTTTTGGACTACTGAAGTATTAGTTAACATGCAAACATAAACTGAAATTTCCTAAGACTATCTCAAATTTTTCTACTGAAATATAAACTCTAAAGAAAAAGGCCCAATTTGTAAGTCTGATATTTAGGTAAAGCAATTCTCCCTTCCAATCTTTTATTTACTTTTCTTCAACACTGAGAAAATAAATTAATAAAGTAACTTGCTACATGAAACTGAAGAATAATTTAGTTTTTTTTCTAAGCTGTCTCCTTTTCCTAGAAGTTTTAGTCTCACTTATGGCTATAAGTGAATGTTTACTACGTTAAATATTAAAAACGTGTCCCCAAAAAGCTATTTGCTACTATCCATCAAATTCCTCTTCTAGAAGGATAAGGGATATATTTTAGGAGGTAAAAGTGTACAATATGTAACTGAGAATTACTTCTATAAATTAAAAAGGGGTAAAACTCCAAAAGAGAGTATTTTTTATAAAAGCAGAACAAAATATACCAGAAGAATAAAGTGATGGGAAAAGACATAAAAATACTGAAAAGGCTAAAAAAAAAAGAAGTAAACATGAAATCTCACATTAAAGGCTGATTTTGTCTAACAATAGATAAACTAAAGAACTGAAGAAAAAAAAGAAATTTAACTATATATATATATATATATATAGTCTGAATAATTCAAACTAGTACTCAAGACAGCCTTTTCTTTCACAGGCAGCATAGGAAGAAATGTGCACTGATGTGGTCTTACCACCTTGTTCTTGCCTGAAACATTAATAAGTGATAAAGTGCTCTGAGGCAGGCAGGAGAGGCTAACAAAAGATCTTGTTAATGCCAAGCACACAATGGATTTCTGACTCTCAGGGAAGCTATGAATAATCTAAAAACCCTGGAAGTATCACATAGAAAAAGGATGTCATTCTTACCCTGACAAAGAATTGAGATTTAACAAAGAAATTAAAGACAACAAGCCAACTATTTCATATTAAAAACAAAAGGTTCATATTCGCAAGAGACGACTAAGTCATGGTAACTTCTAATTCAGCCTAACTAAAACATCCCATTTCAAAGAACTTTTTCAATTAATGCTATGTTAAAAGGGCAGGTATTATCTTGTAAGTAAAAATAATGATAAAAACTATAGAATATGTCAGAAAATCACAAGAAATATGATAATTTATAGAATTATTACTGTTTACTTGTCCATCTCCATTAACAGTTCTCAATAGACCAGAAAATGATTTTGTAATAAATTGTAAGGTTTTCTTCTCTTGTTCTGAGATAAGAAAATCTGGAATGGTGTTTAATACAATTTACATGGCACTCACCTGTTCCAAAGAGTTCCTTGTGAACCTCTAATACCACAGCAACGCCAATGTTATCTTTTGTCATCACTCTGTTGAGCATTGCTTCAGATCCATCTGAATTCGCCATTGCTACCTGGTTGAATTCCACTGTATGCTTCTGCACCAATGTAAATCTAAAGGGTCACATATTGATGAGTTATATAGTTATGATGTCATGCTAAGACATTAAAAATAGGATTGGACACAAGTACAAGCACTTGATAATTAATCTCTGTCATTTTCTAGCCTAAAGGACTAATAACTAAATATGAACCAAGAAGATGTTTTGTGATAGCTGAGCCTATTTCGAGACTGCTTTATGTATTGTGAAAAGCCATTTACTTAAGCTATTGTTCAGTTTGCCTGACAAATAAAGGTGCACACACTCTTAATTGAGTCATCAACTTAAAGGGAAAGAATAAAGTCCATCAGCCCCATTTGCAGAATTTTAATACTATTATCAAGGTAAATGTCAAGAAAAAGCAGTAATACAGCATTTTTCCCCAGCTAAAAATTAAACACATTTTCATTAGTTTTTATCAGAGCATTACAAACTAAAATATTACTTAACACCATTTACCCAATTTTATTATTTTTTTGAAATTATTTACAGAGAACCAGAACAGTACTTTGGAGTAAGTAGGAGCCCCTGACTGGCCAGGAACTTACAGGTAATTATCTCTTCCTGCCTTTGATCTTTAGTAATGAGTTTGGAGCAAGTACCACCACACATAGTTTGTCATATAATTTTCACTACAAGTCAAAATACATGTTTGCTTTCATAACAGTATCACTTTACATTCTCTCTAGCTTTGAAAATTGATCACAGATATCCCTTAAAAAAATACTGACTAAAAAGCTTACAATGCCACAGGATATCATTCTGGATGAAATAATGCTCTTCCCATCAACTTGTTGATCCAATTCTGAGTATCTCAGATGTGCTTAGAATAAGTCTGTCTGGTCAGATGACCTATTTCAAACTCAAAGGTCCTTAAAGACAGCAGTTTCCACGCTGTACTAGTAAACAAGATAGTCCTTCAACTGAAAAGACTATCATGTAAAGAAAGAAGCTATGAGTACATTAGGTAAAAGAAGGGAAAGATCCCAAGACAGAAAATGGCTTTGCAAAAAGGAACATGAAGGAAGAAGGAAGAAGAAAGAAAGAAAGAAAGAAAGAAAGAAAGAAAGAAGAAGAAGAAGAAGAAGAAGAAGAAGAAGAAGAAGAAGAAGAAGAAGAAGTCGAAAGAAAAAGAATGGCAGAGTATGAAATGGTATTAGACACTAAAACAGGGGCAGCTAAGTAGTTTATTGGTAAAGAGCACTTGCTCTTCAAACAGAGTTTGGTTCCTAGCATGTTATTCAGACACAATACAACCAACAGTAACTCTTAATTCCATGGGACATACACACATAATCAAAGTAAGAGACAGGTGTAGTGCCACACATCTTTAATCCCAGCTCTGGGAAGGCAGAGAAAGGTTGATATCTCCAAGTTCAAAGCTAGCCTGGTCTACACAGCCAGTTACAGACCAGCCACTGCTACATAGTGAAACTGAGACTCTAAATAAATAACACCCCCTCCCTCCTTCCCCCCCCCCCCTCTCTCTCTCTCTGTGTGTGTGTGTGTGTGTGTGTATGTATTTTGGGTTGTGTGTGTGTGTGTGTGTGGTTTTTTTTTTTTTTTTTGAGACAGGGTTTCTCTGTATTGCTTTGGAGCCTGTCCTGGAACTAGCTCTGTAGACCAGGCTGGTCTCAAACTCACAGAGATCTGCCTGCCTCTGCCTCCTGGGGGCTAACTTAAAAACAACCACTTATTTTCTTCCCCAGCTACCATATAACAAATATGATCCCTGTGGTTTTTACTTTCTTTTATACAGAATGAAATGCAGGAAACATTTTGAAATATAGCATTCCTCCTCTATTCTATTGAATTTCTTTTTAACGAACATGCATTGGTTTATAGCTATTTTCCAGTTACTAAATCAAGCTAACATTCTTTGGTAATGTATAAAGTCTTAAGTCTGCCATTTTTTCCCCCAGTATTTGAAATTCACTTGGTATTTATATTCTGGTTGGTGTACTCTGCTTTATAAGCTTCTTGATGTCAGAAGAATTTTTCTGTTTGATCCCTTGTTGAAAATTTTAAGCAAGAGCTCAAATGGGTACAAAAAAGGACATGCATAATCAATAATGATATGACTAAGAAGCAAAACTATAATAAAACATTTAAAAACCTTATATATTTGAGAAAGACTATGATGAAAGTCTCATATACAGAACATTTTCAAAACAAGTATTCAAACAAGTACCACTTTCTTAACTGTGCAGTCTAAAAGTAATGTGCTAGCTGCTATGTGGTTACATTAAAGCTATAGAGACAACAATGAACACCAACTGTGAGCAACTAAGACTTAAATAGCACTCTTCCCCAAATTTGTAAGTAAAATGAACACAGACCACCATCGAGTAGATAGTATGAACCAGAGAGATGGGTCTGTGTGGGAAAGGCCCGATTGATAATTCACACCGCGGAGGAAGGAGAGAATGCACTCCTCCTGCTGCTGCCCCTGACTTCTACACACAGGTCACTGGTGCTGATATCAGCCAACCCCATGCACATAAAGAAATGTGAAAATGGGAGGAGGAGCAATTCACAATTATCAACAGTTAACTCTTACCTTTCTGTATCATTTCACTGTAAATCTCTTCATGTATACTCAGCATGAAATATATAAAAGATAACCTTGAGTCTCATCAATCATTAGCATGTAAGAAAACTAACTTTGTAAATGTAAACTAGACTAGAAATAAATATGAAAGAAAAATAGGCAAATACCATTCTGTATTTGTATAGCTCTTAATGTTATTTTGTTTGTGTTTTTGAGATAGGGTCTCTCTTTGTAGCCTTGCTTGGAACTTACTATGTAGACCAAGTTGGTCTTGAACTAACAGAAATTTACCAGCCTCTGCCTTTTGGGTGCTGAAAACTCTTGAAGGCCCTTCTACACCCTTTGTCAATTTAAGACCCATAATAAACCTTGGATAGTAGATGAACAGTTTTCATTAACTCAAATTTGAAAAGTAGAACTTTGGCATAAAGCCATTTTACATCCCAACTTTACACTATTTTAAATGTGTATTGTTTTTATGTGTAGCATGTGTGTGTGCCTATGTGAATTTTTGTGTGCCATATATGCAGTGTCTGTAGAGGTCAGAGGGCATCAATCCTCTGGAACTAGTAGATGTGAGCTGCCTAATACGGGATCTGGGAAACAAACCAGGTCCTTTGCAACAGCAGAAAGAGACACTCTAAGAGTTGTCTCTCAGCCCCACATTTAATTGATGGCAAACTAGCACTGGAAGACAGAGATCAAGACCTCATTTCAAAAAATTAAAATCAAGACTAATAAATACAATCAAAGTAATCAATAACCTAAAGGACAAAGAGAATACTTATAAAATGTGTAAAGTTTGGAGTGATACTACAACTTCTGAATGCCTTCCCCCACAAAAAAAACCCCAAAACTATATTTAATAATACAAAAAGTACCTGGTCTTTCCTAGGTAAAATCTAGAGGTTACCTCATTTGGAAAAACTGCCTCTGAATTTAATTTGACATTTATTACCAGTCTTCATAGAAAAATTTCCTAGAAGCACTGTTCTTTAAAAATACGTGGTAACCGTAAAATGTCTAATAGCACCAAGCTGTTTTCCCACCTATGCCTTCCTTCCTCGCTTTCCTCCACTACTCTCTTCCTCTCCTACACTGTCCAGTAAAAACCCTTATGGTACTAATGGACTTTACAGACTATTTCAATATAGTTATCAACCCTCAAAATGCAGAGAGCTTTCATACACACTGAAAATGCTGAAGTTATTCCTGATGATACAGAATTAACATTGTTATTTCAACTTAAAGTCAACGAACAAACCAGCAAACGCCCAAACCTCAATCTTCCAGGATTTTACTTGAGGTAATTTACTGGATATTTTGCAACACAAGCTATTAAGTAAATAAATAAATAAAAATTAACCACTCCATGCCAAGCTCGATCGTTTCTTCTTTCTTCTTCCCAGAATTCTCCTAGGGTGGTAGACCCACTTATACTTCCTGCCTGGATACTGGCCAATTAGCTTTTTCTTAAATCAATATAAATGACAAATTTTTACAGTGAACAAGAGCATTATCCCACATCAAATCTGTCTTTAATGTTACACACACACACACACACACACACACACACACACACACACACACAGAGCCCATGTATAAAATGCATGTTTATATTTTCTAACATGTTTGCCTACTGTAGGTCACATCTGCATAAAAAAGCAAAACTCATTTTTGGCATTTGATCAAACAAGATTTTGTGGTATCTTTAATTATTAAAAACAAATGATGTTTATGATGAGGCCTAAAAGGTACTGCCAAATCTTAAGGACCAAATGAGCCTTGACAAATTAAAACTAGGAAGGATAACAGTATGGCTCAATAGTCAGCAACCACCTTCCACCTTAAAAAGAGATCACTAGAATATTTCACTGTATTCTAATTCTATACATGTCTATAATCTGTGTCCTACCTCTTACCAAAAATACTGCATACTTTTTTCATATGGGTTAAGTATTTTGATAAAAATTAGTGTCTACAGAGAGGATGTGGAAAAAGGGGTACATTCCTCCACTGTTGGTGGGAGTGCAAACTCATACAGCCACTTTGGAAATCAGTCCACCTCAAGATCCAGTAATTCCACTCTTAGGCATATACCCCAAAGAAGCATATTCATACAACAAGGACATCTGTTCAACTATGTTCAGATCAGCATTATTTGTAATAGCCAGAACCCAGATCCAACCTAGATGCCCCTCGACTGAAGAATGGATAGAGCTAATGTGGGACATTTACACAATGGAGTACTACTCAGCAGGAAAAAAAACAATGGAATCTTGAAATTTGCAGGCAAATGGATGGAACTAGAAGAAATCATCTTGACTGAGGCAACCCAGTCACAAAAAGGCAAACACGGTATATACTCCCTCATATATGGATTTTAAACATAGAGCAAAGGATTACCAGCCACAATTGACACCACCAGAAAAGTTAGGAAACAAGGAGGACCATAAGAGAGACATACATGGTCCCCCAGTGAAGGGGAAAGGGAGTTAGGAAAAAGAAGAAGGCAAAGGTGGGCACGAGGGAGCAGGAAGATTGAGTCAGGGAAAGAACAGAGGAGAATAAGAAAAGAGACACCATAAAAAAGGGAGCCATTATAGATTTAAAGAGAAATCTGGCACTAGGGAAATGTCCAGAGATCTACAAGGATGACTCCATCTAACAATCTAAGCAATAAAGGCTACCTTCAATGCCCTTCCCTGATAATGAGATTGATGACTTCCTTATATGCCATCCTAAAGCCTTCATCCAGTAGCTGATGGAAGCAGAAGCAGATACCCACAGCTAAACACTGAGCCAAACTCCTGGAATCCAGCTGCAGAGAGGGAGAAGTGATGAGCAAAGGAGTCAAGACCAGGCTGGAGAAACCCACAGAGACAGATGACCTGAACAAGGGGGAGTTCACAGACCCCAGTCTGATAGCTGAGAAACCAGCATAGGACTGACCCAGACCCCCTGAATATGGGTATTAGTTAGGAGGACTGGGCAGTCTATGGGGCCTCTGGTAGTGGATCAGTATTTATCTCAAGTATAGGAATGGACTTTGGGAACCCATTCCCCATGGAGGAATATTCTCTCAGCCTAGACACGTTGGGGAGGGCCTAGGTCCTGCTCCAAATGATATGACAGACTTTGAAAAATACCCATGGAAGTCTGCTCCCTGGGGAGCAGGAAGGGAATGAGATGGGGGTTGTTGGGGGGGGAACAGGGGAGGACAGGAGGGTGCGGGAACTGGGATTGACATTTAAAACAAGCTTGTTTCAAATTTAAATTTAAAAAATTAAAAATCTGGAATGCATGTAATTAAATAATCAATACAAAGAGAAGCAACTTTATAATAAATTGACTTCTCTAATGAAGTATGGTTTCTAGTGTTTGAAGAGGCACTGATCGTACCAAGCTTCACTCTACCTAACTGTTGTTTAAGGTGGGAGATCTGAATGACACAAAATGGACAGGTGGTAGTAATAATAATAAAAAAATTACAGTCTACACTGAAAATGCATATGGAGTCAAAATATTCTTCTACAACTATTACTTTTTGTAGCACTGGCAATAAAGCCTGAAGACAGATAATGGGGTTCAATCTGAAGACCAGAAAAGCAAAACAGCCAGCCACTACTCCTATCTCTACCTCAGACCAAAATCGTGAACCTGTCTCCACAAATTCTTAAGACTACTAGAGTGCATCTCTCTTGTCTCCTCCCACCTTATATTCCTCTCTAGCACTTGGATTAAAGATGTGAGCTCTGTTTCTCTTTTAGAATGATTCAGTCTCATGTAGCCCAAGGTGGTCTTGAACTCACAGAGATCCATCTGCCTTTGTTTCCCAAATGCCAGTGTTAAAGGTGTGGCCACCACTGACTGTTATCTATGGCTAACTAGTAGCTTAGCTTTTAACTATGTGTGTTGTTAACTAGTGACTTAGCTCTGCATTCTGTTCTTCAGATAAGCTTTGTTTGTTAAATTACAAACAATATATCACTACAACTTTTACTTTGTAAACAACATAAAAATGTCATTTCTTATAAAATAAACAAGTGAAGAACTAGACCTGAAAGGATAAACTACTCATGATTATATAGCCAAATTAAATAGTAAAGTTATGATTTCCTAATCTTTGCACTATTACCACCTCTTCCATGAAGGAAGAAGAAAAGTAGGTCCCTGAATCCTCACCCACCCCAAATAACTACAGTCAACTAAGAGATAGACACTAAGAGCAGGAGAAACACTGTTCCCCAAGGGTGAGCCCCCTAACTGATTATCCTATACCAAATGGTCAGGCCTTTTTCAGATTATACACATATAAGCAACACAAAACAATAATAAGGAACTGCCTATATTCTGGCATTAAATATAGTTCTATATGCTTATCTAAAATGAGATAATGTTTATTAAAAATTCATGGAAAAGACAAGAAATTAGATACATACAAATGAGATGTGTGCCAAGTATCTGTCAAGTTCACTGATTTTATTCACATACAATATATGATGCCTGATTTTGTTATAATGGGGATTAAGTAGACAAATACTAGGAAACAGGCATAAACACATATACTGCGCTATCTTATATGTAGATAATTGTCAATGTATCAAGTATTAACTATGTAATTCAATCTATCTCCCTTCCACACATTTCTTTCTACTAACTGGTATTAATATGTTGACACACTTTCATTTCTACTAACTGGTGTTAATATGTTAAGTCCTCATTTTCCTAAGTCCTCTCCTCATCCATATAACTACAACTTCCTTATATACATAAAATCATAGTATATTTGATTGTCTACATTCCTATCTTTTCCTACTATATTTGAAATTCTAGTGAGATTAGTAATTATCCATGCTTAGCATCAAAAGTTCAGTAAGCATTTAGTAAATACATTACTAAATAGATGTATAAAATATTAGTAGAAAATGATAAAAAGGTTCATATATGAATAAAATCTCAAAAAGAAATCTACATTACTGTTACTAGAATTCCACTTTACATATAACTAATATTTTACTTTATGAAAATATTTCAAAGTGTATCTTCATATCTAATATGAAGAATATAATAAATGTCTTCATTTTCAGTATATTTCCTAAGGAAACGCCTTAGTATCTATAACACTTGTAATTTCTTGCTTTACCTTTTAGAGTCATACTAAAGACTACTGTAAATGTGAGAAAGTTCAAAGTCATTAAGTTCATATCTCTGTTTTCCTGACTTACTTTTCTGTTTTGAAGAATATTGCACAACCATCCACATGTTTTCTTTCCTGCTCAGACATGATTTTGGCACGTGACTTTGGAGAAAAAAACCCATCATATCCACGATCCTTCAATGCTGGCAGAAATAGAGTAAAGTATTGCTCTGTTTCCACTTCCTAAGATGAAAGAAAAATTATTATATACATGACAGTGTTATTAAGACCAAACATACTCTGCACGAGTAAGGGGTGATTAAAAACCACATCATATATGTAATTTATCATGCATCTCTCTTATTGTGTCACTAGCAGGATTTTAAACATGAAGACACAAGAAAGACAGCATGACTTTCTCAAATTCGAAGTACTAATTAACAAAAGGAGTAGGATTATATTTCAGCTCTACTGACTCCCAAATTAGACTTGACTCCAATATATTTCACTTCCTCAAGACTAGTAATTAAACAAAGCTCATATGATAGGTTATATGGTAGTAAATATTAAATCTATCACCAAAAAGTAGAGATTAAATTTCTTATTCTCTTAAACTGTGCCATAAAGAAATAATAGCTGGAGTATGAAAGAATCAACAACAAAAATCTCAAATTCCAGAAAATTTTAGAAATAGCAATTATAAAATGTTCTTCTGATTTAACTATTAAATTAGAGACTTTATTCTTTGATCTACAGAACATTAAAACAAACCATTACAAATGAAATAATCAAACATGGAGGTGATGACACTGACATATAAAAGTGCTTTTAACAGTGTAATTTTATAGCAAAAACCTGTGGCTAACTGTCCTACAATAGGAAAATTGTAATCATAGGCACCTACTTAAAAATTTGATCGTAAGAATTTGATCAATAACATGCATTAAGTGAATAAACAAAGCATGTCAACAGTAAGTAGAATCTCATTTTATTAAAAATGTATGAATGTCAACTAAATGAAAAGAACAAAAAAAGAAATATACAATAAAATACTCCAGTGGCTTTAACATACTAGTAATTTGATGTGTAGGAGTGCATTTTATCCTGGTCATACTTTCAATTTTTGAACTTTCCCAGAATACTTTGTAATATACTATGGCTTTTAGAAATGTTTTCATAGACTCTGATTTATCTTTCAAACTATATTACACTTACAAAGGTATGAGCATGTTACTACTATGAATACTAAAGCAAAAGCTAGGCAGTGAATCATAGCCTAACTTCATTTGCTTCCTTTTCCCCCTATTCTGGTTGTTCTTACTGTTTATAAGAACATTTAATCCTTAAAGATTTTTTTATTTGTTGTGTTTCAAGTAATTTAAGACACAAAACAAAGAAATAAAACTACCAAACTATTTCATTTCCAAAAATTGTTTCCATTTTCAAAAATTGTTTCCTTGTTTGTTTTTGAGAAAAGATCTCACTATGTATCCATGACTAGGACCTACTATGTAGCTAAAAACAAACAAACAAACAAACAAATAGGAAGTCATCAGCTGTCTTCCCAGGATATAGTGAAAATGTGTAAAGCATCTTTAATGAATGGCAACTATTTGAGGTGGTGGCAATGAACAAGCTTGACTTAGCCATTCCATACTGTACAGATATATTAAAATACCATATTTAATAAATATAATTATTTGTCAGTTTAAAATTTTCAGAACATTTATTATGCTTTGAAGTTAATAAATTTTGAGCTAATTACTAGCTAAATATTTTGAGCTAATTACTAGTTAAAAAATTGGTTGAAAAGGAATTTAAATTTCTAAGGTATATTTCTTCTTCAGTTAAATTCAATAAATACAGTGTTATTAAATAATAGAGTTTAAAGCCTTCCTCTCCAATTCAAGGCTATGTAATTTGTATAACTGAGTCCTTCTTCAAAGTGGTCCACATACCAAGAGATCTGAGCCCTTAACAAGTCTTTAAAGGAATTGAAAGGGATTTTTAAATGATTTTTGAAGAAATCAAACAGATATAAAAATTTTACTAATATAGAGCTATATAAATCTACTGGACAAAAAAAAAAGAAACAAAATTAGGCAAGTCTAAATTTTAATAATAGTTTATATATAAAGTACATGACCCCACCGAATGGCATTGCCCTACATGTGGAATTGGGGAGGGGGGATGGGAGGGAAGGGTGGCCAGGGTGCATGTGAGGGGGGAAAGAGGGTAAGAGGGAGGGAGGATGGGAGAGCGAACTGGGATCAACATGTAAAATAAAAAATAATAATAATAATAATAAAAAGTACATTAAAATATGATTCACTGTTCAGTTTTTTAAACATTTAAATATTTAACTTTAAGGAACATCTTTGGGAAAACTTTCTTCTGAATTCAACTCTAAGTAAAACTTATATTCCTGAAAGAGTAGTAATCTTTTTGCAATTTTCTCTATCAGAAATTGTGATTAATTGTTCATAGGCGGCTTGTTAAGAGGGGTGACAGGCAAGATTAATTTCAGAAAATAATAAGTGCATCTGTGTCCTTGGTCAGCAATATAGTTAGTTACACTGTGGACATCTCTTTTAAATTTGTATTAAAATTATCCTTAATTTTTTTTCTAAAGAAAGGAATTATTTGTTTTGAGTTTTGCTTTGAACACAGGCTAGCTCCCAGAAAAAGTATCTTTTATTATTTTTAGTTCACCTTTAAGTTAAACACAATTTAATTTCTATAGTGTTACCTGAAGACTAATGATATCTGCGTCCCAGTTAACAATTTCTTCCATAATTCCCTTTTTCCTGTATTCCCAGTTTAATGCCCAGGACGGGCAATAGCCATATAGCTGCCGAGTAGCGTATTTATCACATAACACATTGTAACACATAACCGTGAATGATGCTAAGAAGCAGGAAAAAAAAATAGACAACAGGGAGGAAATTAGGCAACTATTTGTTAATAAATATCAAGAATATACATGCATAAGCACACAAATACCGTTCACATATCATTAAGGCAAATTGCCCAATGTAAGTTCTGATAATGTATTTTTCTTTGTTTCACTTTGAATGCAGGATTATTCACAGAGGTAAGATCTATGACTTTTACATTAACCTTTTAAGTTAAAGACAATTTCACTTAAAGTGTTACCTGATGATTTCACTGAAGTACATTAAACCAATGCTTACTTAATAGTCTGGATTTAACTATCCAGATTCAAAATTTTGAAGAAAACTTAATAAATTCAAAATTATAATTTACTGAGAGAAGTGTTTCGTTTAAATAAAAAAGCAAACTTTAGTTTCATTATATTTAAAGGGTTCTAAATTTCATTACTTCTTATCAAAATACTGATAATTAATATTCTGAGGCTCTATTATTACTTCCACTAATCTGACCCAAAATTGGGTGAACTAACAAAATTTAGTCATAAGAAATGTCTTTTTGCCAATCTAATATTCATTTCTGAAATAAAATTTTGTAAGATTCTGACTTACTTATAAAAACCACTATAAGCAAAATAATAATTTAGATGCCCTCACTACTCCAAAATATGCTCAAAGGCCCAGCAGTATCGATAATCACCTGAATGCTTGGAAATCCTAATTTCCGGCCACTAAATATCTGAGAAACAGGAACTAAAATTTAACAAAATCCTGAATTAACTTAACATGCATATTAAAATAATTTTCCTCAATAATTTTCCATATTGGGTACCCATTAGAATCTCTTTGTAGAGGCAAATAAATAAAAAAAGAAACAAAAACATCATCAACAACAAAAACGGATATCAAGGATAGAACTCTTTTTACTAATACATACTTTCAAAAGGGATACCACATGCTTATACCAAATCTACATGGTTGAGAACAACAAAATTAATCTGTAAGCAATTCAAGATGAAGTAACATTTTTGAAGTAGGATACGGTTTCAGTAATAGGAAAGGCAGTAAATTAACTGGTTCATGGCCACTTTGTATATACTGGTTTGAGTTATTTATATCCTCTGTATTTACTTTGGAAATGACCCAGAACCATTCCTAAACCACTACATCATCAAGTGAAACACCCTCAGTTTACCATATTCTGCCTCTCCAGATTTGGAATACCATTGTAAAGTGGAAAAGAAGTAAGACATAAGGCTTTGTTCATATACAAGACTTTGTGAAGTAAGATTTTCCTAGACAAGTCTAGCAGTTATAATTTGTCTAACAAGGACTAAACCCTGCATCAATGCCATGCTTACAGGTTTTAAATGGAAGTATAAATTAATTAAACGGCTATTAAAACTTTCTTACACTCCATTTTTATCTGTAAGATTTTTCACTAACTGGTCTTGATTACCGCAGTTAATGATTGCAACTGTAATTGTAAATCATTCTTAATTACCCTGAGTTATTATTATACACATCTCTCTATTCAACAGAAGAAAAGGGCAGTTTTCAATGTTGACACTTAGAATCTATTCAGGCAATACCAACCACACACTAAGAAGAATCATTACTACTTTTTCAAAACAGCTAGCCCTAAGAAGACATTACTTCAAGAATTCACTGACTAGTTAGTATTTACCTCTATGTATTGTCTCTGTTCTTAATAAAAATAAAGCTGTGCAATAAACAGTAGAAGCTTTTCTTCCAAATTGTGTTCAAGAAGGGATTAGAGCTTGAAAATTGTGCTCATTTTTTAATATATAAAACTCATTTTGTATTTTTAATTAGTATGTGTTCATCATACAAAATAATGGGTTTCATTCTCACAATTCATGCATCAGATATTTTGTTCATAATCACCCCTCCACCCCTGCAATGTGTCCTCTTCTGTAAGTTTCCTTCCTCTTCCCACATAGGTCCCTACCCTTCTACATTTATGGCCTATGTGAATTTTTTTCTTCTTAAATCTGGATTTCAAATACAAATACATGACGTATTTGTTTTTCATCACCTGGTTTAATTTCACTTAACACAAGATGAAAATCTAACCAAGGAAGTAACAGAGACTTCCATAAAGAAATACTCTTTTAAGAGCAGGAAAGACAAAACTCTCGCTACAGAAAGCCAATTATAAAATATATCTACCTAATCCAAGGAATTCAAGAAAACTTAAGTGTTTTACTTAGATCATTTAATATGCATCATACTAAATCAAGTATTATTTGTGGTAATTTTGAAACAATGTCTACTAACAGACTGATAAGGCTTTTCTACAGTGTAGTGACTATGAAAGAAACTGTATTGCACAGAATTATTTCTCAGCATTATTAAAATACAAAGAGAACCATGAAGAAGTTACATATTCCACACAATACTAAAATATTCTGAATCTTTTTTAAAAAGGCCAACAGATTAGGTGTAGTGGCACACTTTTAATCCCAGCACTCAGGAGGTAAAGGCAGGTGGATTCCTGTGAGATTAGTCTGGTCTACATAGCAAGTTCCAAGACAGCCAGACCTATGTACCACAGACCTATGTATCAGAGTGAGTCTGTCTTAGAAAACACACACACACACACACACACACACACACACACACACACTGAACTTTGAATTGAAATGAAATTAAGTATCATAAAAATACTTAATGGATGTGATTTCAAAGGCACTTATAATTCACAATTTAAAAAAAAAGACTATGTGTATGCATGAGTTCATATATATATATATATATATATATATATATATATATATATATATATATATATATATATATATATTTATTTCACCCTAGAACTGGAACTATAGATGATGTGAGAACCCAGGTCTTCTTCAAGACTAGCAATGCTCCTAACACTACTGAGGTTCTCTCTAGTACCTTCACAGTTTATTTTAAGTAGAATTTCCAAAACTTTAACACACAGTAAAAAGTCCTACAAAAATATCAAACTGTTACTGGTCTGCACAAAGACAATGGTTTAAATTTCATTCTGACATTACCACTAAGCTAACTTAAACTTTTAATTATCAATAGTATCCATTTCAAGACAGATAAAATACCTAAGAAAAATAAAAAATTTTCAGAAGAATGTTCATTATTGCTCATTTTTCTTAAATTGTATAAGGCCTTTCAAAAGCTGCAGCACAAGGAATAGTTTTCTAGCCCAGTGCACCAATGTAATAAGATACAAGATGTTTACTTATGTTTACTTATACAATAAGACTATCTTAATGTTTTTTAAAAGTCTATCAATACTTTGAAACCTATCTACACCTTGGGGGGGGGGGTGGGTAAAATGAAAGCCTATTAATTACAAATCTCAAATAAGTATTTATTTTAAAAGCCAAAGATGGAGAAGCCTACCTGATGGCAGAATTTGGTCTCGTTCTTTTAATGTAATCCATGGCCTCGGAGGAAGCTGCTCTGGATGAACTGAAACAAAAAAATTAAAACATCAAATAATCCTGTATGTTTACAAAAATCAGTATCATTTAGTTTCTAATACCAAATCAACCTATTTACTATTTGGCTATAATGGCCCACATAAGGACTTATCGAATCCTAGAATTTAATTAAGACTTTAAAACTGAAAGATATCTAAGAGATAGATATACAGGAATTAGTGGGTAAAAGTTCTATGATACGTGCCTGAATAAATTCAATCCCCATCCATGGAGCCTATGTAAAAATCCTTTTGCATATGTAATCCCAGGACTACTATAAGACAGAAAGAGGCCAGAAAATTGGCAAGAAGCTCAAAGCCCACCTAGCATGTTTGGCAGAAACAAGCAAGATAAGGAATCTTCTGACCTCCTCACGTATCCACAAACACAAACACTAAACCCATTTAATTAAATTTCAAAAATGAGCTAAGCAGAGAACATAAAACCAGTATCAGAAACGGACATTAAGAGACTCATTAATGTGCTGGGCAGTGATGGTGCATGCTATTAATTCCAGCACTCAGGAAGTAGAGGCAGGTGTATCTCTTTGAGTTCAATACCAGCGTGGTCTACAGTGCGAGTTTCAGACAGGCTCTGTAACTGAGAAAACCTGTCTTGAAAAACTAAAAGAAATGCATTAGTGATATTTCTGAATGTGTGATTTTATGAAAATTAAAACTTAAAGCAAAATATTTTCTTTTAATTACATAGGTAAGTCACAGTGATTTAGCTTTATTCCAACTACAAAATCAAAGCTATATAGAAAATTTAACATTCTGGTAAATCTTAAAACAGAAAACGGACATAAATTTTCTAATGAGGCTTTCACTACCCACTCTCTCTTCCACTGTTTTATAAAGTCAACGCAATGCAAGAGCAGCTCCCTCAGCCTCTTCAAAGCCAAGGACACAAAGATAAGAGTAGTTGAGATACTTTACTGTCAATTTTCTGTAATGTCCTATCCCAAAAGATCTCCCTAATTTACCCTAAACCTGCAATCACTTGGATTCCAGGAAAATATAGCCTTCCAAAATCACCCTGCCTCCAAGACAAAGACAATTATTTATGATGCTCTGCTACACCAGAAACAGACCATTTCCCAAGAAGTAAGAACTTTTCAAACCCACCTTGTTGAACCAGAGTGAGACTACTGACAGGACACAGTGTACAAATTACAAAAGATAAAAATCACTGGCTTTTAGAATAAATGGATACAGAGAGAGAGAGAGAGAGAGAGAGAGAGAGAGAGAGAGAGAGAGAGAGAGAGAGAGAAACAGACTTTTAAAATGAGGAAATATGCTAGGCAATGGTGACTCACGTCTTTAATCCCAGCATTTGGGAGGCAGAGGCAGGGGGATCTCTGTGAGTTTGAGGCCAGCCTGCCTACAGAGTGAGTTCCAGGAGGGTCAGGGATAACAGAGTAACCCTGTCCCCAAAAATAAATAATGAAATCCATAACAAAATAGATTCTAAATAAACTTCTGTAGTTTTTCAGAAACATCAAAGTCCTAACAGATTATCCATTGGAAAACGCCAATTTAAATTACACTGGAAGCCTAAGGAAACACTCCAACTTTGACAGCTACATTAAAAAAGAAAACAAAAAAAGAACTGCCAGGTGAAAACTACATATGCAGTAAAAATATCCTTTGGAAATCAAGGAGCTGGGCATGAGTACACACATGTAGTCCTGACACTGCAAACTACTGTTAGCCTGAGATTAGTAGAGGAGAATCATAAGGAAATAAAGCTGAATATGTAATGGAAAACTAAAAAACTGATCACTAACACAGCTGTTTTTAGAGAATGGTCACTGCTAAAGGAAGCTCTCAAAACAAAAAGCAAAATATAAGGGATAAAATTAGGAGGATTAACATTACCCATTTCACCATCACTTCTTAAATTGTATTTGATGGCCAAAGGAAAAAAAAAATTATAATAACTATTATAGTACCAAGTATGGCTTCCTAGACTATAGTTAAAGTAAGTCATAAGTCACAATAAAATCTTAGTGGAGTGAATACAAAGTATGACTCAACTATTCAACATATCCTTCAAATACAATATAGAATATTTAAAAATAATTAACTTTTCAAAAAGCAAGAATAGCTATTTGATATCCAATGAAGTAGTTTTCAGGACAATAAAAAATAGAACATTAGTTACATAATGAAATGATCAAACCAAAAAATAGAACATGATTACATAATGAAATGACCAAACCACTAACTATTAACAACCCTAACATGTATGTGACAATCAACAGAGCTTAAAATACCAGAAACAGGGGCTGCAAATACAGCTCAGCAGTTAAAATTATTTAGTGCACTTGCATAGGAAACTAAGTTCAGTTCCTAAAACCCAAAGTGTAGATCACAACCATCTGTAACTCTAGTTTCAGGGTATCAGATGTCCTCTTCTAGCCTCCTTGGGCATCATGCATGATCATGTATAAATGCATGTATACATGCAGGCAAACTCTCAAACACATAAAGTAGAAATAAATCTTGAAAAAAAAATACCAGAAGCAAAAGCTGACAGATGAACAGAGAGATAAATAAATACATAGTTATAGCTGAGAATTTTTAACTCCTTCATATCTCCATTTGATAGGATTACCAGATGGGAAATTTGAAAAAATATAAGAGGAATTTTGAGTGCCATACCAACATGTTCCCATTTACATTTTTATACTATTCACCAATTATATAATGAGCAAGCTTTTCAAGAGTTCATGGAATACATACTATGACAACCAATACCTTGGACCATAGATAAACTAATCTAAAAACTGGGGTAAGCCTTAAATATGTTATCTGAATGTTCCTACATATAATCAAACAAGAAACCACAACAGGAAAACTACCACACTTGTATATTAAGCAATACACTTCTAAACACTCCACTGATTGAAGATAAAGTCACCAAAAATGTAAACTACATTGAACTGGTTGAAAATATGAAGGAAAGCCAGATGTTGGTGGTGCACGCCTTTAATCCCAGCACTTGGATCTCTGTGAGTTAGAAGCCAGCCTGGTCTACAGAGCTAGTTTCAGGCCAGGCTCCAAAACAATACAGAGAAACCCTGTCTCGAAACGGGAAGGAAAGGGGAGGGAGGGAGGGAGGGAGGGAGGGAGGGAGGGAGGGAGGGAGGAAGAAAATGTAAAGGTAACACAGACATACTTATGTTGAAAGAGGAAAGATTTCCATTATAATTTAAGTTACTACCTCTGAACAAAATAAATCTAAACCAAGCTGAGGAAACATTAAGTTAGAAAGATACAAAAAATGTTAAAAACGAAACGGCATGCTTAGCACACAGAATTAAGTATTTGAAGTAATAAGAAACAGGCAAATCTACAATTTTAGCAGTCTAACACAATATGAATGAACCAAAGTGGTTATTAAATATACACTCATCACACAGAAACAATAAATGTTTAACAAACATAAACATATGTGTGTGTGTGTATATATATATATATATATATTAATTAATTAAAGTCTACATCAAACAACTACACAGGCAATATTCAGGGTGCGCACTTAACACCTAAAAAAATTAAGAATGTACTAGCTCATAATGTATTAAAATTTTTAATAAGAGTATGTTCTCTAACCACAATAGAATTAAGTTAAAAATCTTAGCTTGAACTCTCATGGAAATAAGAAATAAAATTCTATGTGATTCACAGGGTAAACAGGGGTATTAGTAAAAGCTGAGGGACTGGAGAGATGGTTGCTCTTCCAGGACCCAGGTTCAATTCCAAGAACCCACATGCCAGCTTATAACTGTCTGTAAATCCAGATCCAGAGGATCTGATGCCAATGCATATAAAGTCAGATAAATTTAAAAAAAAAAGTTTTTAAAAAGTGCTGAGTTGGGTAATAATAATATAAATGGAAGCCCATGGGAAACATTTAAAAACCGTATTTAGAGAGACATAAATGGATATTATTGATCCAGATTTCAATTTTTTAGAAAAAGAACAGCAAATAAAACACAAAAAAGTAGAACTGAAGAAATAGTTAAGAAATTAATGAAACTTGAAATAAACATGTAATAAAGGAGAATCAATAAAGCCAAAAGTTAGGTTCTTCTCTCCCTAGAAAAAACTGACAGATATCTAGGAGCAAGACTTTCTACAAAGTAAACTAAAGCAGCAAATATTAGTATCTCGCATAAAAGAAATACCATTCTATATCCTATGGACATTAAATGGGTCATAAAAACATGTTCTGAACTTCTTTGTAAAGAATGACATTATATAAAATGCAGTAATTTTCAGATAACATTACTTTCAAAAACAAAGAAATGGAAAGCAGAATAGTACTGTAATTACTTAAGAAAATTAAACCAGCAACCAAATGGTGACCACTGCCAGCATGTACATCTCAGATAATAACTGCCATGTTTCTAGACAGAGAGATGGTTCAGCAGTTAAGAGCATTTATTTGTTATGAGCAGTTTTCCCTGCCAGTCTGGTCCCATAGGTGCGTCAGCCCCAAATAACACACAGCAACGCTGTATTAGATATAAAGTTGTTGGCCTGTTACTAGCATTTCTTATTGGCTAGCTCTGTCTTAAATATTAACCCATTTCTATCAATATAAGTATTTCCACGTGGTCTTGCTCAAGACAGAGGGTCTGGACCTTACATCTTGACTCTATTATATTTCACCAAATCCTCCTTGTCTCCTATCTTGCTTTCCTATTGGCCAACAGGGCTTTATTCATTAACCAAAAAGAAAAACATATTTACAGAATGACATCTCCCATCAATTTCTCTTACAGAGAACCCAGTTTTGATTACTAGTACCCACACAGCAGCTCACAAACATCTGTAATTCCAATTCTAGGGGATCCAATTGCTTCTTCTGACCTCTGCAGGCACTGCAGACATGTAGTACAAATACATACAGAAAGGCAAGTACACGCAAAATAAAGCGTTTATAAAATTAAAGTCGTACTATAAAACTTCTTGCAAAGAAACTTCATGCCTAGATATATATTCTGCCAAACCACAACAACAAAAAAAAATATTCTCATAAAACAAAATGACAACAATGAAGATAAAAGTTGCTGGCAATTCTGAATCAAACATAAATGCAAACAACTCTAAAAAATATATTAAACTAAACTTAGTGATATACAAATAATTATTCTACAAATATGGCATAACTTATAGAAAGCAACTAACATTAAATAAAAAATTAAGAGAACAATGAATATATTGTATCTCAGTCCAGTGGTGATACACACCTTTAATCCCAGCACTAAGGAGGCAGAGGCAAGCAGATTTCTGTGTTTGAAGCCAGCCTGATATATACAGAGAGTTCTAGGACAGCCAGGACACACAGAAACTCTGCCCCGAAAAACAGAAAGTAAATAAAAATAAATAAGTAAATAAATGTATCTCAGTCAAGTATCAGGATTTAACAAAAAATTAACATCAACTGAATTAAAAAAAAAAACTAAACATTTTTAATCTCAGTCTATACCTATAAAATTTAAAGATCCTGGGGATGGAGAGATGGTTTTGTAATTAAGAGTCCATGCTGCTCTTTCAAAGGGCCTGAGTTTTGTGTCTAGCATTTAATATCAGACAGCTCAAAACTATAATCAGCCCAAGGGAACCTGGCACCCTGTTCTGGCCTCCTTTGATGCCTCCCCATATGTGGCATATATAATGACCTCATCATTTAAGAGGCAAGTGAATCTCTTGAGAGTTTGACACCAGTCTCATCTACATTATGACCAGAATAGCCAGGGCTGCACAGTAAGACTAAAGACTCTTAAGGTCTCAGCTGTAGTAGTAGCAATAGCAGCAGCAGCAACAACAACAACAACAACAGTAACAAAAGTAATAATGATCATTTTAAAACATAAAACCTTCTACAAGAAATCTTATCACATTGCTTCATAAACAGAAAGTACTCACCCACTTGGGGGGAGGGTAGGTCCTGACTGCATAAGGAAGAAATTCTAAACCTATAGCAGTTATAAAAGCAATCTGTAATATATCAGCTACTGATAACATCTAGACTCCACTGCTTTGTCATTAACACTTACCAGCAAGGAGCTGGGCAGCGGTGGTGCATGTCTTTAATCCTATCACTCAGGAGGCAGAGTCAGGCTCTGTGCATTCAAGGCCAGCCTGATTTAAAGATAGAGTTCCAGGGCAGGCTCCAAAAGCTACAGAGAAACCCTGTCTCAAAACACCTCACCTTGCCAAAAGAAAGAAAAAAGTTACCTGCAAGATTGTCAAGCATGAAGTTCAGTAGCTTTCGGGTTCCATCTGGGTCCTGGTATAAGCTCATAATATCTTGTGATAAAGGATTGCCTTAAATAGAAAACAAAAATAAAAACATGACAATTACAATTTCAGGGTATACATTATGGGACAAAATACTTATTTCCCAAACTGAATTTTACTGTTTTATTCATGATACACATATAAAGAAATTATAATGGATATTAAAATACTTTAGATAGCCATAAATAGTAACTTCAAAAGTTATTCCCAAATTTCAGTGTATGAACCTAAAATCTGAATTTGTCAAAAAGAAATACACACATGCATGTACATAAGTGTGTGAATATATATATATATATATGTATGTATGTATGTATACATAATAATGATTTCCTTTTAAATTACCCTATAGAGTCCACATTATCTTTAAAAACAGACTGATATCCAAAACATAACAATTCTATTTAAGGAGGAATGAATAATATCATAAAGAGGTCTCAGGCCAGTGAGATGCGTGGGGTAAAGCTGCTTGTTGCCAAACCTGATGACCTAAATTTTATCTTCAGGAACCACATGGTAGACGGAAAATCAACTTCTATAATAGTATTGTCCTATGACTAAAACATGTGCCTCCCTTGCATACAAATAGATAAATGTAAAATATTTGTATTAACATTATATGAGGAAAATGCAAATATTTCAAACAAGAAAATCCATTGCCAAAATAACTTAATTGAAATGTAGAAGGATAGTTTTGTTGTAATAATGTGAAAAATGTTTTGAGTATTGAGAAAAGAGCTGCATCAAAACACACGATACCTGTATAATATATATCCTTAATAAATGAAGGAAGCATTAATTAAGTAAACATATAATTATCTAGCATTCAGACCCAGGAAAGCAAAACTCATCAAAGGTCTAGACATGGAGTTCTAAATTGTTAAACTATCAGTAGTTCATTTACCCATCAACATGTAGTTTACAGAAAAATAATGACCATGTTAGGAGAATGTATAAGTCCTGGAAATTTCATGTATGACTGAAGTGTAAAATGATGTGACTATGCTGTATGTCTGTTTGGCAGCTTTCAGTTAACTTCAAAGGATAAAAGGAAAAGGGTGTTGGAAATGCTCTGGACCTTCATCTGAGTCCTGTTCTCAGAGGTATGCAGTGCACCTTCTTCTGACTGCTATTTCCAAGCATACAGTCAGTCAAGCTGGATTCTTAAATATTAGGGTACTTTGCAGTATGTCATTATAACTTAAGTACCACAGGAGGAAAAAAGTTTGGCAGATATACTGAAAACAGTGAAGAGGGGAAAACAGATTCAAGGAAATTACTAAAGAAAACATAAATGGGTCTCAAAATTCTGAATATTAAATAGAAATAAAATTTAAAATAAAAGAGTTTATACATTACAGTTCTAGGAAACATGGTTTCTCTCCAAAATGCAAAATGACTGAAAGTTACCGTCCCTATCTTTACAACCAGTAACTGGTAATCCAAACTACTGTAGAGTATGTGCTCCAAAAGTCCTGCCTGGTCCTAAAAACTATTTTCTCCAAATCAGAGTTTTATGAAGGCTTCATAGATCTACAAGAAGAAAAAATACATTCCATGTGTCCCCCTCTTCTAGTTTTCAATAGTGATGGGAAAATATTTGAGGACCTTAAACCCTGGTACCAACTGACAAGCTTCTTCTCCCTACTTAATAACTACACAACAGTGTGCCTTCACAGTAACAGCAGACTGTTGCTGAAAGAGCCTTTGGTCTCACACCTTGCTTCAATGTGTCTGAGCAAACACAAAAACAGAACAGACAAGATAAGGACATTTGAAGCAGTTCTAGCCTTTCATATATCAAATAAAGGAAGTAATAAACAAACTTAACCCTATATAGAAAGACAGGAGGATGGCCAACCTATAAATAGGAAAAAAATTATAAAGTATTGAAAGCCAATTTTAAAAATTGGCATAAAAGGGGAACCACATTTTATGTAAGAGAAGTAAGAATCCGGCAAAAGAATTCAGGAAGTATGGGCGAGGTACTTTGGAAGAGGAAGATTAAATACGAACAAAGTAAAATTATATATATAGATGAAAACACTGTAACCAAACAGTTAAGTTTGCATACTTGAAAAAAAAAATTAATGCCTGAGTTGATAGATGCTGCACAATATACACAAAGTTTACTAAAGGATTTAGTTTACTGAACAAAATGCATTTTAATACAAACTAGATCATGACAATGACAAAGAGAACACCTTAAAAACAGACTGGATAAAAAGATCAAATACATCAGAATATGATAAACAACAATGGTGGCATCTTTGAAAAGCTAAAAATATTTTTCAAAGGGTCATATAAATTATACTGAAGATTTCTAATCTTCACTGTTGTAGAATATTGTTTGTATTACAGTGTAAAGATGTGTCACTCTGATTGGTTTAGTAAAAAGCTAAAAAAAAAAAAAAAAAAAAAACCAATAGCTAGGCAGGAGGTAAAGGTGGAACTTCTGAGCAAAAAGAAGGGGTAGAGGAGATGAACCTAGGCGTGGGAGAGACACACCAGAGGACACAGAGAGGAAACAAGACAGGCAAGATAGGTAAAAAGCCATGAGGCAAAACATAGGTTAATATAAATGGATTAATTTAAGAGGTAGTGGGACAAGTCTAAGTTATAGGATGAGCTTTCATAATAAGTCTCTGTGTAGTGATTCATGGGATGGCAGTCCAAAAAAGCCTGTACACTACTTGTAGTGATATATTGTTTGTAATCTAACAAATAAATCTTGCCTGAAGATCAGAATGCAGAGCTAAGCAATTAGTTAGCTCTTAACAACACAGTTAAGAGCTAAGCTACTAGTTTGTCACACTCCTAAGTCACTAGTTAAGTCACAGAGGACTGGCAGTGGAGGTCACACCTTTAATTTCAGCACTTGGGAGATAGAGGCAGATGGATATCTGTGAGTTCAAGGCCACCCTGGGCTTCATGAGAATGAAATCAGTCTAAAAGAGAAACAGAGCTCATGCCTTTAACCCCAGCACTAGAGGGAATATAAGGCACGAGCTCAGTGCAGTCTGAGGTTTTGGTGGTGAATACTGCAGTCTGTAGTCACTCTGAGGACAGGATCATCCATCCCCCTTTGGTCTTAACCAAAGAGGTGAGAACTCTCCAGTGGCAGGCCACTTTGCGTCTCTAATCTTCAGCTTTAACCCCAATAGCTGTCTGGGCTTTTATTACTTGTGCTACAACTACTTTCCATTTATCAACAGAAAAGAAAATAGAGTCTACACCCCAAAAAAAGATGTAAAAGAACTTTATAACTTCACTTAAATATTTATGTAGCATCAGTCAATGCCAGAGGAAAAACAGAAAAAGAAAAAAGTGGGAAACTGCTTTTGAAAAATGGATAATTGCTTTAAAGACAGAAACTATAAGCATTCATTCAAGAAAGAGATTTTAAAAAATAATCAAAAGTGGCAGAGCAGGAGTCTTCAAATCTGCCACTCCATAAAAGGGAACAACAAAACTGATAAAAATTAAAGTGGTTCTACTAGCAACTAAGAGCTGTAAAATGGCTATAACTATGATGAGGATTCGGAAGACTAATTAATATGCAACTGAGAAGACAGAATGTTACAAACTAAAATAGAAAATTATCCGAGGCTAACTTTAATCCCTTTTCAGAGTTATTGTCAACCCCTGTATTAGACCTAACATGGTTGTGACTATCAAGTAAAGCTTTTGAGATTAACTACAAGTAAGCTATCAGCTTCCACTAGCCCTAAAGTTAAGAGTAAGACAACATCCCACTTAGCTGATGGTTTTCTATCAATGTATTTGGTAAATATATTGATTATGGCTTCCTTTTGCTCTATAACTATAAGTTCATATGATCTCTTGCACCATGAAACATGCTCATGGCAATCTGAACACTTATATCTGGCTCAGAATCAACTGCCTTATTCTATCTGGATGCAAGAGTAACAAATCAGCTATATACTCCATAATGACATTCAACAAACCATGACATATGTGATGGTGGTGCCCTAAGATTAAAATGGAGCTAAAAACATTTTATCACAATGTAACATAACTGCCTTCTTATCATCAAAGCATGATGTATTCATCATCTGTGCATTTGTTATGATGTCAGTGCTGCCAGCTGCATAAGATTATAGGATATATAATTATATAGAATATATAATATTTAATAACAAAAACTGCTACTTATTCATATATTACATTATACTAGAATATATCACTACCATACATTAAAAAAAAGTTTATTATAAAATACATGCCTGCTATATCACTTTACCATCTCACATTTACCATATTATTGGACTGCATTAAGAGATAAGATAGGGTTCCTAACCTTACCATACATTCTATGATAGTCAAACAAAGATGAACTTGGCTAAAAGCATATTTTTAAGAATATACTCCTGTCCTTTCAGTAATGTATTACTCTGAGATCTTGAAAAAAAAAAAAAAAAAAAAAAAAAAAAAAAAGAACTACCAAACGGCTCCAGCACCCAGAGAGAATTCACTTAAGGGGAAAAAAATTGATTAAGAAAAATGACGTTTGAAATTTTTATTTCTGATCCTGCACTGACTGCCAGAGCAACCCAACTAGAGCTCTTTCAGCTTCACATCATGAAGACTAGTCTTTATCTGTATGGTGTCTCTCTGACTGCTGTCCACAGCTGAAGGATCTCCTCCCCACCTCCCCAAATGCTCTAGTAAAAGGGTGATAGAGTGTACAAAATTATTTATAGTTGTAAGCCTAGCCTGTAACGGCTGAACCTGGGTTTGGAAAATTATTAATAGCTAATTACTGGCAAAGTTTAACTTTGCGGAAGTGGGGGAGATGGTAGAGGTAGAATAAACAATAGGCTGAACAAATGAAAATCTTCAGAATTCCTACAGTTTATAGTGCATCCACATACAAAGGGCTATATACAGGAAAAGACTTAAAAACAGCTTATTTCACCACTAAGGTAGTGATATATTACTTATGATCTAATAAAGCCAATGAGGACCAAAATACAAAGTTAGCCACACTAGACAGCTATAGAATC